AATTCACGATATAAGCCCCCTTAAGCAGTTTAGACTATAGCTCATGTAGTTTAGCCGCGCCAAGAGGCCCCCTTAGGGCTTAGGCTCTGACGGAGCCAACATACCCTCTTTGTATGTTGAGGGTTTAGGGTTTGGGGTTTAGGGTTTAGGGTTTAGGGTGGAGGGTTTAGGGTTTGGGGTTCCGAAGGTCTTGGCTTGATATTCCTTGTTGGGTTTTGGCAGAATAGAACGTGGAAATCTACTTTGAACAACGACCCAGTCTTGAGGATGAATGACGCTATGCTTAGCATCCCATGTAATTCTAGAAAAGGACGGTTCTCGCAGAAAGTCTTTTAGGGCAGGATTGGGCAGAATGTAAGGCACGGGATGCAAAAGAGCTTTAAGCAGTGATTGTTTAGGGATGAGGGTCGTTGGGCCCGCAAAACGTGTTAAGGCTTTCTTGAAAGCCCGTGCAGATGTGTAGTATATACTTGGGCGCCAAAGTAATAATATGATGGGAAGCCCTTGCGCCCAAATATACTATATACCTACGTGGACCCTGTGGTGTTTTGGGTACTGCAACGAGGTTTACATTCCTGAAGAAAAGAACCCTGATACTGGGGCGGGGTCTGAAAATGGCACAAAATGGCGCTTTTGGCAGACTGGACAGCACGGGCTGTACCTCAATGAATGTCGAGGCTTAGACGGTTTTGCCGACATTCATCCTTCCTGCCTCTTGCTGATAATCTGCCAATAAACAAGTTGAAGTGCGTTCTGACAAGTGGTCTTGCAGGCGATCCTGCCCTAGACTCAAAAGCCTGCATGAAATATCTCAAGTCGCCAAGCTAGCAGTCGGGGTCATGATCTCACTGAGGCGGGTCTTGCGGTCCTGGCAAGATGCTCCTATGAAGTTCATAGTTTGCGTTGCTGTGGAGTATTGGGAAGAGACAAGAACAATGTAGTACCTTTGAGAACTGGTTTGGCTGGAGGTAAAAAATCATTTTGCGTCATCATGACAGTATGATTCACCGGATTGACTTCCCCCTCTGCATGAAGGAGTTCTTAGAATAAATGAGCACATGCGTTTGGACAGCGCTGTGAACACCTCCGAAAACCAAACTCATTCCGGGCGCCATGTGTGCTACGTCTCTCCGAAAAGGCATCCCGTGTGCCAATACGGCCTACCGGGAGGGGCCCCCACTTAACACATAAGCTGCATAATTACTGCTTACGGCTGTACTTATCCCTACTGTTAAAGCCCAACCCCCTCCCTGTAGGTCACTGTCAGGCTCTAAACTTGTCAAATTGATTTCCACCCCTTGCACAAAGGCTTTAAGTACCAAATTGAGTACTTGGGATGTGGGTAATGGTACTTGTGGTGCAAGTCTTGGGGAAGTATATGATTATTGGATACTTGGACTCCCAAAAGTTGTTTGTTCACCGGCTTATCTTCGTGCAGCGCAGCCTGGCTCATCACCCCACTCACCATGTGGCGTTGATGGGAAGAGCTTGCGATACTCTCGACCAGATCTATGGACCAGATCTATGGACAAAATCCTGCATGACCCTAAATATACTACAGCACCAAAATTCCCAGGCTTTAGGTATGTTGGGTCATGCCAGCCTCGCACTGGGGCCAGCTACGTCGTGGCTGAATCGCCACACGGTTTAGGGTTAAGGGTTTTGCCTGGACTTCTCCACGGCACTGCAGCCGTTTGAGGAATAAGAAGTCTTGCCTTGACATATTTTAAGACAGGAAAATTGCAGAGTTGTTCTTTTTAATCGCCGATGGCGGAAAAGTTGTTCTGCGCTCAGTGCGTGTCTTGCAGTAACTTGAGGGACTCTGCAACTTTCCGGAAGTCAGGAAGAGGAGACAAGCTGCATCTCTTGCAGCAAATAAACTAAATAGCCAAGGACCAGCAATTGGCAGTGCAATCAAGACATGCGACATTAATCCTGAGTTTATGGCCATATGCTCTATACATGGTGCCGGTATGTGCTAAAAATCAAAACTACGTAAGGTGTGCTTGCCGCAGGACCTTATTGGGAAACATGGTGATTGCCCACCCGCTATCAGACCCTTCTGACCTTTACCCACAGCTGTCTTTTGCAAGCTGTCAGTGCATGGGGACTGAACCTGCGCTACACTCAGGTATAATAAGATCTGTGCATGGCCCCCAAATTGGACACAACGTATGTGTTTCTGAATACGCACACTCGCTAATATTCCCACGGAACTCTACATACACTCACCAAATACCGGAGTAAAACAACTAGACCCTAAATCCCACTCTTTACACACTACTTGATTTTTACCCTAAACCCTATAAGCGCTAAAGACTATGCACCAACCCTAAACCCCCTAAACCCTAAACCCCCTTTTTTTACAGCACCCCTTTATGTTGGAAGCCCATGCTCTGCAGTCCATCACGAAATCGGTGTCGCGCTTTGTAACCTGACTTCCCATCTGGCGACCCATTTTGTCCCAAAGGGTTAAGGGCTAAGGGTTTGGCGTTAAGGGTATTCCCATATAGGTTTCTTGAGCCCAAATATATCTTAACAAAGCTACATGGACCTTTTGGGTGTTAAATGGAGCCTCAGAGGTTTTCTCCAGGATTTGGAGTGTGGGGTTGCCAGGCAAAAATGAACAATAGGGGTTTAGGACGGTTCAGGGTCTAGGGCTAACCCTTAAGCCCTTGAGGATCCTACAAGGATTGTTTTGGGAAACACCACGTTGTTTCATGAGATTGCGGGGGTTTTTCATGAGCTTGCGGGTTGAGATCCAGCGGTACATGATGAGGCCTTGAACCCGCCCGCGGTCCCTAGAGCCCAAACCCTGGACCCTGAACACGACACCCTCCACCCTATTAAAACCCAAGTTCTGAAACCCAAATGCTAAATAACAATTTCCCAAACAGGGCCTCTTTTTACACCTGAAGTTCCTAGGGGACCCCGATCAAAGACCCCGAAAAACGGGATCCCTACTTTGTTCTGATCTCATCACCATTCCTGTTCCAAAATGTCCATTATGGAACATAATTCCCCCCAAAAACCTTTACAACAACCCAACCCTGAAACCCTAAAACCTACTTCCTAAGCCCTACGTCCTGGACCCAAACTCAAGGCCTAGGCCACCCACCTACTGTAAATGGGCTGCGCCTAAGCCCCTCGCCCTCTATGGCGAGAGTCTTTACCAGCCCCGCCTCAGCACAGCCTTGCGGTAGCACCCACGATGGACCCGGTACCGGGAGGAGTTCTCCTTGCAGCGAACGAATTTCAGAACCGAGAAAACCTCAGGCCACCGCCCAAAGGCCTCCAAGGGCCTCTGTCAGGGCTTCCCAGGAGTGGCTTCATGTCATAGAAGCCTCCAACACAACATGAAGACGAATCTACTTGTGTTATTGACCAAGATAGACCTCAGATGACCTAAGTGAGTTTAGCTCGAAACCCTCCAAAAAAGTAGGTTTGGGTAGCTTGGCTGCCTTAGACAGCATGGGGTGGGTGAATGTGTTAGATGGCCTTGTTCAGTCAGGCCCTGGAAACGCCTCGCAAGCCGCGATGCACTCGACGTTACCTTGCAGCTTGTGCATCGCATGTTCCCTGTAACATCACGGCAAACCCTGAAATGGGTAAGCTCGAGCGAATGCACCAGCCGGCAGGCGGGGCATCTCCGGAGCCCAAAGCCCTCCGGCGGGCGACGGAGCTCCCAGTCCCACAGGCAGCTGCGGGCTGCGGTAGGTCCGGCAGGCCGCTGGCGAGTAACTCCCAGCCAGGGCTCTATCGTGAAGAAACCAACAGCTTTGAGCTAGACCCAGCCGTGTTCAGGATTGGCGGCATCCAGCCAAGGCTCCATGTAAAGAAAACCCGCATCCGTCCATACTGGACAAGTCCAACTGGTTCAAGGCTCGAAGGGCATCAGGCAAGGCTCAATTTCAAGCCTCGAGCCAGACCCAGCCCAAACTTTGCACCTGCCTGGTCCAGACAGGTGTACAAAACAAATAAGAAGACAGGAACGCGATCAGAGTTCGAGAGAACCCTACACCCGTAAAGGTCGAGGCCAGGGAGGAGCGCCAGCCGAGGCGGGCTCGTGCAGGTCAGGGTGCGCGCCTGGGTCCATCGCCAAGAGACGCTAAGCCTTATAAACCCTACACCCTGGTTACCAGTCTGGCAACAAGGCCAAGCAGTTTGGCACCCATCTGCCCATTCTCTGTGACAGGGAAGCCGGTGAAGCCCATGGTACCTTGCTGGCCAGAAGGATCCTAGGTACCCATAAGGAGTAGGGTTTAGGGTTCAGGGTTTGGGTATAAAGCAAGGTTTCTATGCTAGGAATTAGCAATATGGTTTGAGTTACTATCCCCTTTTTAGGTACGTACTTTGGATCCTTCGGGTGTACTAATTTTCGGATTAAGGGAACGTAGGGTTTAGGGGTCTGGAAGTTGGGGTTTCGGGGCTTACGGGTTTAGAGTTTCGGGTGTATGGGTTTAGGCAACCGGTAATGCCCAGAGTGTTTTGAAGGACTTGGGGTCCAGGATTAGGGTTTGACGTTTGGGGCCTGAGATTTACGCTTGTAACGATTCATGGTTTTGAGTTTTACATCTAACTACACACAACGCGCGTATGTAGATATTCGTCATATACAAGGATAGGAATAATAACAATCCCGGGGACGAACTACGCAGACTAGCCCAGACCCCAACTACCCTCTGTCCTTACTATTGGAGGCCCGATAACCCCCCAGCCAACGGCAGTAGGAGGGTCCTGGAACCAGGATTCAGGATACCTACCGCAGTAAGGGTTTGGGTTTATAGGGTGTGGCCTCAATGGCCCTTTAATTAAAGAATACACCTTGAGCCATATCAAGGATCTTACTATCGTTCCCGGTGTATTCCGGACAGTGTCTGTGGCACTATGGCTCAGTGCTATCCTAAAACCCAAACCCGAAACGCCAAGCTTTGAACTATATTAGTTCTAATTCAACTTCCTCAAGAGGTCTCCCTAAACCCTAAACCCAAGCGAGGTGCTCTTCAACCTGTCGAGCTCCTCCACCGTCATTGTTGGGGGCACACACTTCGGCTCAAGAATGAAGCCGGCCTTTTGCTTCAGGGTTTCGGGTGCTGGGCCGTAAGAAGGCGGTGAGGGGCCTGGAAGGGACTTGTGAGGATATTCTATACGGATAAATAAGGTTTGGGTTTAAGGTGTAAGGTTATTCACTTGTTCTTAGAGGGTTTTGGATTTGCAGAGATCCAAAACGAAATAGACGACAACATGGAACATGAACTGGGAACTGATATATGATGGTGTTTACAAGGTGTAGGGATCTGGAATTTTAAGTATTACGTACCCTCCACCAAAAACCGTAGACCCTCAACGGGGGGTGGGGGGTGGACCCCTGCCATAAACATCCCTACACAACTCCCTATTAAAGTACCTATCATTCCGACCCTAAACTTAAAACCCTTAGCCTCACTCAAGCACCAGTAAGTTGGGCGGGGTTGTGCTTTGGGCCTTTGAAGGTTTGAAACTTTGAGTTTTGGGGGGGAGCTATAGGCCTTTGGGTTTAGGGGGTGTCAAGGTGAGCTGTGAGGCTTTAAGGTTTACGCCTTGCGGGATTTCGCGGATTTCGGGTTGCCGCTTGGCCCGCTTCCTTTGGCTACGCACTTTTGCTGCAGAAGCATAAAGAACAGCCAAAACCGCAATGCAACAAGCGCCGCCCAAAACTCAAAACCCGAAACCGCAAAACCTGAACACAGAGTCCAAAACAAAAAACTTAAAATCCGCAACCGAGACTCAAATTCAAAAACATGAACTCTGAATCCCAAGCCCAAATGCGCAAAGTCGTCCAATTACCAAGCATGTAGGGGGATGATGCGGTTAAGGTTTAGGGTTTAGAGTTCAGTGCCTGAGGTTTAAGGTCTCAGTAAACCTACTGGAAAACCTTTGAGCCCAGGGCCCTCATGATAACACCTAAAACCCTGCATACTCAGCCCCTACCCCCACCGCCCCCACCTCGGCTAAATCTATACCTGAACCTCAACAGTAGGTAAAGCGATGGCCCAGCAGCCCCCAAATTAGCACTAAAGAACAGAATCCGACACACTTCTGGAAGATACATGAACTCCTATAAGCCAAGCAAGATCAAACTTACATGCCGCATCCGTGAGCCCTACCTAGGTCTTCCAGTTCAGTAATTTCCTGAAAACCCAGTAGTTACACGCTTAAAGTGGTAGGCAACTTTAATCCAAAGTGATAATACATCGAGAGAAGCACCCCCAAAGTTGTAAACCTTGAGCCAGAGTGATGAGCTAGTGGCTTTCCACGTCACTGCGTGTCCTCTGACAACTTGATCAAAAAAGGCTTTAGAGCATAGGGCTACCCTAAACCCCAAGCCGACAAACGTCTTAAGGGCTACTTTGGAGAGCCAGGTAAAACTGAAACTTCAAGCCCTCTTTTGTGGACCTTTACGTGTAAACCCTTTAACTCTAGACTTGTCAGCCCTGTAACTTTCTAAGCCTTATAGCCCTATGAACGAACCCCTGTAATTTATACCCCCATGACCCTGTACCTTTGAATCAAAAGGCGAGACAGGAGTTTCTTATCCAACGTTAGCACTGCAACTTTAACTTGCCCGGCGTTGTTGAGCATGGCGGGCTGCGGGCTGTGGCATCCAGAATGCCCTCTCGGCAGGCATGTTTGCCTCCGCCCATGATCTCAGACTAGTGGCCGCAAGTGCCCACAAGGGGTTGTTAAAAGCAGCCAGATCATGTCACGCAGAAAACTGCGCCAGACCTTAAGATCCCAGTGGGAGTACCGGCCGGTCGACAAAGATCTCTCGTGCATTTGTTGAAGGGCTTTGCCTTTTGAAGACAATGCACTGAGAGAGCGCTTTGGAGTTGGACCACGCGCCTAGCGCCATGCGGCCAAAAGTACCGCCAGCCTTTGTGCCACTGGTACCAGCCCAACCATCGGATAGGCCGACCTGGGCATGGCCCATCTACTAAGTTAAACAATTGACGCATGGGCGTCTCGCTGCGTGCATCCGCCTCCAGAAACCACACCGCTGCAGATCGTTTGCCGTGGCGGCGTCGAAGATGCAGCAGCTTGCTGACACGCGGCAACCGGCGATGGTGCACAACATAGCGGAGAATCTCATTTGACAATATGGGTGCACCCATCTGGTGGTCTCGGCCCAGCCTGCACGCATAAACGACATGACCGGCGGATATGCCCGCACCTTGATCTAGCAAGCACTGTTTGCAAGCACTATGCGTGTTGTGGTTGCTTTGGTGGCTCATGATCACAAACGTAGACGTACCATGCTATCCTATAGCCCTGATAACCCTGTGAACCTATACCCCTACCCGAAGGCTCCATGCACCCACGAGTTAGAGACTTTAGGGCCCAATGTAGGTAACATCTAGAGCCTGAACCCTGTATGTCTATGACCAAAAAAAACCCTACACCCCAAACCCCGCACTCTTAAAGTCGTGCCTTGTACTTCTTCACTCGCGCCACCTCGTAGGCCTCCCAGCTACTCAAACTTACTGGTTGTTAGTAGGCTTTGGGGTTTAGGGTGAAAGGAATGGAGGAATAGAAGCCCTAACCCCCCCAATTTTTGTATGGTTTAAAGCCTAGAGTAGGGAAGGGAGGGATAGACAAAAAGATGGAAGCTACTTGGAGGGTCAAGGGGGCTTAGTAAGTAGGTCAATAACCCGTGTAACCCATACAGTAACCCCTATTTGGCCCATTCTTACCATACTTACTAATTAAGTCCAGCTGACCCTCAAAGTAGTGTAGGATTTCTGGTTTTAGGCCTTACTGTGGGCAATGTAGGAAGGGATTCCTGGATTCCTATAGCAGGCTCTACATAATCGCCAAAAATTCCATGGTTTCCATGTTCTGTTGCCTTCCTTCCTTTCCTACTAACAACCAGGTTCAGAGGGCTCTGCCATAAGGTGCCTTGCAAACAATACCCTTGTCACAACATATACTCGCATCCCGGATAGCATACAACTTAGTAGTACTTGCCTGTTATTACTAGGTATATCCCATAAAGCTGCAGGTATAATTGCGTCACACATAGAACCTGAGAAGGCGCACCTTATTCAGGGAAGCCCAGGTCATGTGGGCGGCTGTCGGCATTATGATCTTCTTCAGGCTAGCTGCATGTTTGTGGCCGTCTACGGGACCTACAACTTACGGGGAGTTAGTAGGGAACATGTGACTGAATTATATAGGAACTATATTCCCTTATTCTGCACTGAACCCGAGTAAGACAAATGGCGTTGATTCCGATTTTCTGAAGGGACTCACACCTTTCAGCAATCACCAGCCACAAGTCTGAATCAACCATAATTACTGGACGCTGCGGTCTTGATCCCTGCACACCATTTCTGAAGTAGCCCGAGGTGTGAGAAAACTTGTAGAAACAGAGCCATGCGAGGGACCTGAGCTTCAACCGGCAGATTGGTGTGGATAACGCCAATGCCACCCTCCTCTCAGGCAGCTCGAGGCTTAGGTTTACCTAGACTTAAACCCTATATGTAGGGGAAATCAGGGGATCCAGCAGTGGGGGAAGGGAGGGGATGCATTTGGCTACGCCGTTGTTGTGGCGTGTGCTGTCTAAAAGGGACGGAGGAAGTGAAATAAAGTAATCCCTTAGCCCGAGTGCTAAACACTCCGCTCCCTCCCCCACCAATAAAAAAAACAAACATTGCCTACAAGGGTCTTGCAAAAAATGAAAAGACCCTACAAGAGGCCAGGTAGATTGGCGGACATATTTCGAATGTCTCAGTAAAATGGGGGAGTCCAAAACCATAAACATCATACACCATGACCGAAATTCCGAACTCCCCAAACCTTCTGAGCCCTCATAACTGTTGATACTAAAATCCTGCATGACCGTAGTACACCATAGTACCTTTATTCCCAATGTTTCGGGTATTTAGGGTCCTGCAGGATTTTTAGTATCCACCGAAGCACCCCCCTCAGGCTCTCCAGCGCCATAGCAATGGCCATGTTAGACTCTGTAACCGTGTCCATGGGGCTGGAGACGATGGGCGTCTTGAGAGCGATCCTCCAAGATTTTGCGAGAGAGATTTAGGGTTTAGGGTTCAG